TAACTTTTTGGTAGCTGGGCAAGTTAAAACATATTACATGTGTAACTGTTTTGCAGTGAGGCAAGCAACCAATAAAATATATATGATAGAATATATTTTGCACATTAAGCAGAGACAATACAAATGTATCCACAATAGTCTATATCTTGGGCTCCAAGGTTTGTTTTCCCTAACAGAGTGGTCTTGGAAGTTTCCTTATCCAAATCTTACTCCCAGCTTCTGGAGGGGCAAACACCACATCCACGTTTTGGCCTGGACTCATGCCAGCAGCCTGACATCTCATGAATGTATGCAATTGGCATACCAAATTAAGCTTCATAAAGGCACCTATACTCAGGAGTGCTTTGTCCAGTTTAGGCTAGTATCTCAACATCATCCATTCCTGATATGTCAGATATGACAATGCCAACATGTACCTTCACTATACCTAGCTAGGATTATTGGCTGCTCTATATCAGGGGTCCCCAACACCAATTCTGCAGCCCGGTGCCAGTCTGCAGCCTTGGTTGGAATGGGCCATGGAGACAGACCTCCTGCCCCCTGCACACACTCCTCCCTGCACACCCACCCATACAGCCCCTTTTGCGCATGCGTGTGAGTGCATGCATGTGCCCCCACAAGCACCCCCACTCCTTTGTGCATGCGCATGAGTGTGTGCATGTGCCACATAAGCGCCCTGTCCCTTTGCACATGTGTGAATGTGTGAGTACTGCGCGAGCGCCCCTGCCCCTTTGCACATGTGCATGAGTGCTGCATACCCATGTGAGCAAGCGCTGCCCCTTCGTACAAGCACGCAAGCGCGGGGGTGCCCCACCCCCCACAAACAGACCCTGTCCCCCCCCACAACCAGCCCATGGTGTCAAAAAGTTTGGGGACCACTGCTCTACATGGTTCTATCTTTGAAGAGCTCTGAAACTACAGTTGAGGCAGAAGGCAGAATATTCACTTTTAGGGTTGTATTTGCTTTACACTTATCCAACCCTAGTGACCACTTTGTTCCCAGAGCCCATTCAAAGTGTTGGTGGTGGTTGCTTTTAAAGCCCATAATTACTTGGACCACAGATACCTTAAGAACCATTGCCTTTTTGAACATCCAGTTCATGCCCTAAAATCTAAAGAAGAGGCCTTTCTCTGTGTCGCTATGGTTGAAGTGCAGTCAATGGGAAGAGGCTTTCCCAGTGGCTATGTCCAACCTGTGACATTCGTGCTTCAGCAGACTAGCTTGGCACTTTCTCTGACAGCTTTCTGCCAAGACATGTTTTGACAGCATTTGCTGAATTTTTATTTTCTTTTTTATTTTATTTATTTATTGTATTTATACCCCGCCTATCTAGTCATTTTGACCACTCTAGGCGGCTTACAACATCAGGATAAGGATTTAATTAATGGTTATGGAGCTTTTTATTGTTTCCCATAATGCTATAACATTTTATATTGTAGAATTTTATGATCTGTTTTAACAGTCAAAGAGGAGCTGTGTAGAGATAAACAAGCAAAAAGAGTTTGTTTATGCACACAAGGAACATACACAAATGTGATGTAGCTGTGAATGAATAGTGAGCAAATTGCAAACACGTCGTGCGGTATAGCTTGGCCTGCTGAAAGTCCTGTGAGCACCCATAGTGATCCATTTCTACATGAATTCACAGGTTCTGTGGCTGAGCTTTCTCGTGAACCCTAACTGAAATTCTGCCCCCGCAAAGGGCTGTGTCCCAGTTCATGGGCTACTTCAGCAAGTGTAATGCACATCTTTCTGTAATTTATTGTATTAACTTAATTTACTGTAGCAAATAATACTAGCCAAAACCAAAACCACTGGATAAATGAATAAATAAAAACTAGCGGACTAAGACAGCTAGTGGTCTGTAAACTACAACTATGATGAATTAATTTCTGTTCAGTTAGTTAACTTGCCATCTCCCTACTCTTCTACACAGAAGGTTCAAGTTCCGAACTCGTTTTCTTTGTCATGTTCTTAAACTTTAGAGGATATTAGTGTTCAACAGAAAGGGAAAAAAACCCTAATTCTTAAATTAGTCCCACAAACTTATTAAAGAGGCAGACAGAGCAGATCCAAGAATGAAACATAACCAGACTGGGATGTGATGCGCTTTTTGGCGCCATCAGCTATCATGCTATGGCAACCTTCACACTCATTAATGTTTTATTCATCTTTTCATGGGCCTTGTGAAGGGATGTCCAATGAGCTACTAGAATAACAAAAAGTAACCAGACCCTACTGACCTGTTTAACCCACTATGTGAAGGAAGGAAGAAAAACAACAGCTTTTTTCCTATAGAACAGTGGCTCAGAGAAGTTATTTTCCTTTTACTCTCCCTTCCTTTTCCCTCCCTTTTTCCCCTGGGAAAAATAATGCTTTTATAAATATTATCAAGGTATTCACTTGCAAAGGTAATGCAGTGAGTTCCCATGGAACATCTGTGCATATCCTGGACTCCATTTTAAAAAGTGGTAAGTTTTCCCACAACTACTTAAAAGGTTTATTTTGCATTGTCATTCATTTAATGAAAAGATGTTTTAAAATTGTTTCTCTTTAAAATATTTGAACCCATCAAAGTATATTCCACAAAATGATTAGCATAGGATGTGAATGTATTTTACCTATAGGAAAAAAGCCTAATATTGTTTAGATGAAAATACCTGTTTTGTAGGGAAATGTAGAAATATAACATGCTCATTTTATTGTATTTTATACAGCCCTTGAAGCTGTACTACACCTAAAATCCTACTGAAATTTATTAACAAGTAAACCCCATTGAATTTATTGTTACTTTTTCTTGACTAAATATGTAAAGGCTCAAGATGTGTGAATAAACAAGACTGGATCTGGTGAACCTAAAATCAATAACATTAAAGTATGCAGCCTCCCTCTGAAATCTAATGGTTATTTAGAACTTTACAAATCCCTCAAAAATTCTGCATGTTATATAACTCAATAGTCAGTTTTTGAATTGGTGTTTGGATTATAACTAGGTAAATGAGCTACAAGTTAATCCTGCACAGAGGCTGTTTAGATATAATTACATATGACTCGGGCTGGGAAACTCAGTCCAGTGCAAATTTCATCAGGCTCAGGCCTCTCTATTTTCAGTGCGGTTGACTTTCAGATGAAGGACTGTGAGCTAGATTATAAATTTAATATTCCGTAGCACATTTCTGTACATGTTTGCTCAGAAGTGAGTAGTGTCATATTCAGTAGGGCATACTAGGAAGTAAGTATATTTAAAACTCAGTCTTAATTAATCAGCTATCAGGTGTATAGCATGAAAACTTTTACTGATTTCAGAAGATCAGAATTCATTTTGAAAACAGTAAAACACAACAGAATGAAATAATATTATATACAGCATACACTGGGTAATTCCACTTTTAAAAAAACCTATAGAGAATTTCATATAGACTGCACTGAGTAGCAGTCCTTAAAAAATGATGTATCTATATGACTTCTTTAGTCTCATATCTTGTTATGGATCCTGCTCCCATTGACTTCACTGGACACAACACAAGTCCCTGTGCTACTATCATGTTAAACATGGTGCAGACATACCATTCTTAATTAATAATATGCAATTCAGCCACTTAATAATTAAGCCACTTGAGATGAACCCAAGTCTATGGTAGAGGAAAACTAACATTCACTTCATTTCATGTTCTATCATTTATGTCCTTAGGGCAAAGTCAATATCAGTAAACTGCAGCTATCAAATATTATTTTAATAACAGATGCAAAAAGGCATGATGAATATAAAATAATGTTAGATTTCCCAGCGGAGATAAAATGGCTGTTCCTGAAGTTATTCGTTTAATGTGAGCCTCCTGTAACAGTTATTTATTTAAGAAGACGGAGTGGATAGTGCATAATTTTAGTTTAATATCTGAACAAAAGTAAGAGATTATAGACTTATGCAGAATACTATTTCCAGCTGAGGAGTTACAATAGAGAACCAGGCTCTGCAAGTATCACTTTTACCAAAGAAAGTATTTAGCTTAGTTTGATTTATATGTGTAAAGGAATCTAATGGACCAGTATTAGGATTTGTGACACTGCAAGTTTAGTGCAACAAAAAGCCAGGAGTGAAGAGAAACGACTAGCTGGGAATACAGCAAGTGGGTCCATGAACCTCAGGCAATTGCGCCACTGGAGCAAGACGGGGAATAGAACGCTAGAGCTGCAACTCACAAACCTTCATGTTGAATAAAAACTGGAAGATTGGTGCAGAGCAGTGGTTCCCAACCTTGGTACCCCAGATGTTCTTGGACTAAAACTCCCTGAAGCCTTCACCACTAGCTGTGCTGGCCAGGATTTCTGGGAGTTGTCGTCCAAGAATAGTCTCAAAGTGGGGAACCACTGATGTAGAACCTGGGTAGAAAAACTCCCCTTGAGGTAGTGATAGAATTGCAGGTACTCAGCATCCCATTCCCAGATATTTCAGATCCAAAACCTGAATCAGAGGCATGGATCTTTATAAAGACCCAGAGGCAGACCTTTGTGATGTCACCGTTTCCATAGCAGTAGCCATGTTAATCTGTTTGAGCATGTTGACAAAATCATGGCATGAGGAAGACACCTGAAGAAGTGTGGATTCTGATCCACAAAAGCTCAAACTGAAACAAATCTGTCCGTCCTTCAGGTGCCACAGTATTTTGTTCTTTGCTTTTTTTTTCTTCCCTCTGGCCACTGTTTTTTCTTAACATTGTCAGCATAGTGCTATCTAAGAGATGGGTACTTATAAATGTCATAGTTGTAAGGCAGGAAGGAGTTGGAAGGGAGGCTGAAATTGTTTCTGGGCCAGCTGACTGGATACATGGAAATCTGGGTAAATTGGCCCAAATCAGAGTAAAACTCAGCTAATGAAAGAATATGGCAATCCAGTGCTGAGGTGAGAGCATTTTTAATTTAATTTAATTTAACTTTTTGGTAGCTGGGCAAGTTAAAACATATTACATGTGTAACTGTTTTGCAGTGAGGCAAGCAACTAATAAAATATATATGGTAGAATACATTTTGCAGTTAAGCAGAGACAATACAAATGTATCCACATTAGCCTATATGTTTGAAATGTCAGAAACGGTCTGCATAGAATAGTACTGGTCCAAGTATTTATGTACACAGTTTTTTATGCATACTCAGGGCCAGATAACTAGCTAGCATGCCAGATTCTCATTTGGTATCCAAATTAACCAGACAAATGGCTCAGTCAGCTAAGAACAGTCATCTGCCAACATAGAATCAAGAGAGAACTATCCATCTGTCCTCAGAATCAAGAGAGAACTATCCAACTATCCTTCCATTTCTGGACCAGGTGAGGTTCATATGTGAAGACTATTAATTACACATTTCTGCTGTTTTTATTTATAGTCAAATTGTATTATACCATAAAAGCATATTTTTGTTTACAAACTGCAGAGCAATGATAGTGGTATTGCTTTTAAGAGCATTTTGTTTATTGCTTTCATATGTATCTTAATATCTTTTTTGACCCCACATATTTGGGAATCTGGCTGCGGAGTCATAGGTAGGGAGTTTGATTCCCTACTATGCCTCCTATGAGTACAACCAGCCTGCGTGGCCTTGAACAAGCTGCACAGTCCCAGGGCGACCCCAGAAGAAGGAAATGGTAAATAACTTCTGAGTATTCTGTACCTGGAAAACCCTTAAAAGGCTCACCATAAGTCAGAATTTATTTGATGGTACATAATTTTTATTAACAAAGAAGTGGTGCATAATGAGTTCTGGTGCCATCAGAGAATGGCTGGATAAAAATGCCCAACCTGTAAAGACACCTCATATTCATAAATCAAACTTCCTGTTCCTCCAACACAGTTGGGTTTGAAATTCGGTTCCCCACCAGGAAACCCAAAGAAGGCTTCTAGAAGTCCCAGCAGCAGAAAGTCTGCCCCACATGTTAGATGTGCTATTGATAAGGCCACACAAGATACAAGACCCAGCAGCAATGGTGACAACATCTGTAGCTGCTGTGTGCATGTTGTTTCCTACCCAGCTTCCAAACAAAGACTTACTTTCTTTCCTTAGATCTGGGTTGACTGGGAACATAATCTGGTAAATCAGGTTTTACCTATATTCCAGGCTGATTTATCCAGATAATGTTCATTTCCACCATCAGTTGGCCCAGAAGCAATTCCAGCCTCCCTGCAACCCTTGCCTGCCCACCTTCTGTGACATCACAAAAGTCCACCCCTGTGACATCCCCTCACTCTCAAATTTTAAACCTAAAATCTTAAGACTAGAAGAAGCTGTTGATCTGGAACCTTATGTATGTATATATTTTAACCTTGATTTTCAAAGTGTAAAATGATGTAATGTGTACATATGCACACATCACAATTGCAATAAAAACTTAGGTGGGAAGTTCAGTTAACACTTCAAAATCATTCAGGCTTAACATTGGTATATTGTGTTTTTCAAAGGTCAGAAGTAGAGATGTGGACAAATGGTGCTTCATCTTCGTTTTTGGGTCAAACTTGATGACCCATAAATCACGAATTGCCCCTCTGTGTCCCAATGAACAACTAATCTGTCATTCGTTGGGTCAGTCCCCCCCCTTTCCCTTCTCTTGCCATGCCCCGCGCAGCACAGAAAAGGAGGGAAAGCAGGGATCAAAGCGATCCCACAGCGGCTGGGGGATTCCTTTGATCCCTCTTTGATCCCTTCCCTCCTCCTCCTCTTATGCTATGTGGGCACAGGAAGAGGAGGAAACAGGAACCAAGCCATCCCTCAGCCCCAGGGGTGGGATTCCCTTTGGGTAGGCTTTAGCAAGCTGCCCAAAAGGAAAACCCCTCTCTGCTTTTGTGCCCAAGGAACAGCTGATCACTGAGGCATAAGATAGGGAACAAAGGGACAAATATAAAAAAGTTATATTCGTTGTTTCATATTTGTTGGGGTCTCTGGATCTCAGGAATATGAAGCAATGAATATTTGACAATCAGGGATATTTAACGAATATCCTGATTCATTTTTATATTTGTCTCCATGTCTAGTCAGAAGCCAGAAAGAGTATCCATTTCCATAAATAAGAAACCAGAAAGTGACACAAAACATTGCAGCAAAGCATGGAGGTATAGATAGGAATATTATCTTCACTCCATAGCAACGAAAATAGTCAGTAACCAGGGGTGGAGCAACAGCAACAACGGAATACTTCAAAATCAGACAATGATCTGTGTTGTTGCACTTCCGCATATATTTTGGAACGATTTGGTTCCTCATACGGCAAGTTAGTCAACTAGAGTAAGAAAAAAATACAAGGGGTATTGCCTAGTAATGTTTACCTTAATACATTACTTTCCTGGATATCATTTCTTGCATATTAGAGTTTATGGAAATGCATTGATAAAATGGCTGAACAAAGGCAACGTAACTTGTCTACATCAGGAGAAACACTCTACAAACTCCTTGGTCTTGAGAAAGGTGCACCACATGATGAAATCAAGAAATGTTACAGGTATTTATGAAACTTCTAACCCTAAATATTTTCTTAGGCACATTACCAGGTGTTTTTGTTTTGTTTTGTTTCATACATGTTATTATCAACTGTCCTTTCTTCTTTACCCTTCATCACCACTACTACACCCAAAGTTTTCAAATGATTTTGTCTACAGCAGAGATAGGGAACATGTGGACTTCTAGATGTTACCAGAATACAACTCCCATCATTCCTCACCCTTGGCTATCGTGGCTAATTCAAAAATGTTTGGAGGGTCACATGTTTCCCCACTTGTGGTCTATAGTTTTTGCAAGTTGGTGGGTAAAGAGACTGATTTGGGATTCATCATGTTTCATGAGAAGAGCCAGCCTGTGTGGCCTTGGGCAAGTTGCACAGTTCCAGAGTGTCCCCAGAAGAAGGGAATGGTAAACCATCTCTGAGTACTTTGTACCTAGTAAATCCTGATAGGCATAATATGTCTAAATAACTCACCACCACCATCAGATCTGATGTACCTTTTGCAGGGCTCTTCAAGAGAGGTGGAACGTACTACCAAAAAAAGATACAATACTGAATTTTCCATATGAGGAAAACAGCAATATGTACATATGTCTTCAGTGAACATTTATTAAAACCTCCTGCAACACAAAGCAAAATAAGACTTGACCTCAAAGAAACAAAACAACTGAATAAGTTTAGGATTGTTCTGACTTCCGAGATCATGATGCACCTCCTCTTCAGCTCTCAAAGATAAAGCATTCCCTTCTATTACTTCCACAAGGCCTGACTAATATTTAAAGCCATCCTGTTTTGCATTTTAGAGAAGCAGGACACGACACACAATATGATTTCTGCAATCCTTAGAGCATCACAGGTTTTGCTTCTCTTATGAGAAGATTAATAGTAACATTTTCTAAGCCATTGAATGTTATCCTTGCAGTCTTATTTTATTATTTAAAATATTTTCACCTGCCTTTCTCCTCAGAAAGAACCCATACAGCTTACATGAGTAGACTATATTTAAAAGCTAAAAACTAAGAAACAAAAACAAAAAACCCCAAAGAATCAAACAAATACCATACTAAGAAGGCAAACAAAATCAATACCAAAAACACATACAAAGCACATGCTTATGTAGTTAGTTGTACACCCTCCCTTCTGCCCTCTCTGGTGCATTCTTTTTCCTGTTCTGTCCTCTCTTCAGCCTTTCTTCAGACTTTTCCTTTTCTGCTTATCTCCACCTCTTTCATACCCTCTCCCCCCTACAGCACCGTTTTACAAATAAAGATAATGTAAAGATGGTGCAGGCTGCCAAGAAATCAACACACCAGCTCATCATTCTGAAGGGAAAGATGACTGTCTGAACATCACCAAATCAATAGATTTGACTTAAACTTTATATAATACCTGGTATTTTGTGCAATATACAGTATCAGTACTATGTGGTATAGTGGTTAAAATGTTGGCCTAGGACTTAGGAGACCAAGTTTTAGATCTCTACTCCACCAATGGGTAACCTTATGTGATTCACACTGTCTTTGCCTAACCTATGCGTACCTCACAGCATTGTTGTGAGAATAAAGCAGGAAAGAAGAGAGCTATGTACACCAGCTTGAGCTGACTAGTGGTAAGGCAAGATAAAGTAACTAAGAACAAATAGAAAGTAACAACATACTTATTTCTAGGCACAAAGATTTTACAGAAGGGAAATTACAAATGTGCATGTTATACATATATGCTGTGTCTTTCAGACCATAAATAACACTGACAAGTGAACCCTCGTGGTATTTTGAATACTTGCCAATGCTCTTGTAAAAGGCCACAAAAATCTTGTAAAACACTTTTTGAAAATAAAACTGGTCTTTTACTGAGCTTGTGGGTGTTTCTCTTGTGCCTTGTCTTATGGATTTGTGTGGTTTTCAAGCTGCTGAAGTAACTAAATGCTTGGCCCTCCAGTGGATAGAATTGTACTTCAGAGTTTCTGTGCTGGTCACACTCTGATTACCATGGCCACAGATTTTGCTTTCTTGTCTTGCTGTTGTTCTTCTATCTTATTGGTGTTTAGGATTCTGTAATTCTAATTACACGGGAGTTTCTTTGGGAGGGGGTTGGACTTGATGACCCCCTGGGCCCCTTCCAACTCTTCAATCTTGTGATCCTGTGATTTCCATATAGAAACAGGGTGGGCATGGACAAACTTTCTGTAATCCCTGAAGGGAAGAGTCATCATGGGCAAATGCAAAATGGACTGAATTTTGTTTTGCATTGTACATGAATAGTGATGATTTACATAGCAATCTATGGTAAAACTGACAGTGGTGTTTTATCCATCCTTATTAGCAATTACAACTAAAAACAAAGGCTGCTCTTGAATAAAGTGGAAGTATCAGAGGGATTCACACTTAATGGAATAGTTGTAAATACTTGCCAGACAAAATGATGAGTCAGACTCTTGGATTTCATTTAATTGATCCTTTAACTTATGCTAATTTGCTTCATGAATCTAAAAAACCTGCTTCAGAACTAACCAGTTGGCAATGCACTATAATAATCCTATAATACCTGACTTCAAATTTCCTATTGTTATTAGTTAGCTTGTTACTTGCCAGAACAAAACCACCTATGCCATTTAAATGTCAAAAACGTTGTTCTGTGATGTTTACCAATTGTTAGCAATTTGACAGTGGAAGAAAAAGTTAGCTTTATTTCCAGTTAAGAACTCTGCTACACTCTGGGTTACAGTAGACCACTAGGACACATAAATGTCCATGGGCCCAGAAAGAAATCAATAGCTATTCATATGTGTATCCCATGGATAGCCTTGGCAGGAGAACTGCTTTTTGATTACTCATGGTTATGCTACAGTCCACTCTCTAATGTTCCGGTCAGGCAAGCAACATAATGGATGGATTTGAACAAAAATAAATAAATCAATATTCTGGAGAATTCTGGATTGCCATGAATGAGGTACAACCTAGGTTCTTAACCTCTGGTCCACAAACTCCCGGGGGGCCTGCACAGGCTTGAAGAAATGTTATGATCTTTTGCAGTTAAGGAAGGAAACATAGAACAAAATCTTAATTTCCCTTGCTTGTTTGTGTAAAACTTGACTTTTCTAACTTACCATCTCCATTAAAAACAACAAAAATGTAAAAATGGGTTATGAAAATAACTGCTTGATAGCAAATAACTGTTTGATATTTCTGCACATGGTGAAAACATGCAAGTGAATGATGCTGAGTGGCTAAGAGACAGCTCATGACATTTTTGCTGCTGCTCAGTCAGACAGAAGTTGCGGGAAGAGAGAGTTGGAATCAGTCAGTGTCACTGAGTGTTTGGACAGAAAGGTAAAAGAAACTATTATGTTGATGAGGGGGTATCAAAGCTTGTTCCAGTCCTTTTAAAAAGTGTTGCTGTTATGCCAAGGAATATCTGTCGATTGGCTTCACGTGTACAGATCCCAAAGACAAGCAACCACCACTGTGTGTTGTGTTATGAGATATTGTCCAGGAAGGCCACAAAACCATCAAAACTGTGATGATATCTCAACATTAAACATAAAGAACATGCCACAATGAGCTTTTTTTTCCAAAAGTAAGAAGCATGAGCTTCAGGAAAGTAAGAAAATGGTTAAAAAAAAGACTGCACTGGTTGTAAGAACAAAATAGCAGTGAGGGCCTCATTAGAAGTCTCTCAGCTAATAGCAAAAAATGGAAAACTGCACACAATAGTTGAAGAATTTATATTATGTGCTAATTTATATTATTAGCAAGAAAGGTGCCAAGGATATTTCCTTAATATCTTTGTCAAATGACACCGTTAAGTAGTGAATTGACAGCTTGTCAGCCAATATCAAGGAATTATTATTAGAAGGAATTTGCATGTCTCTGTACTTTGCACTGCAATTGGATGAAAACACAGATGTAACAAATAAAGCAAACTTACTGTGCTACATTATATATGAGCACAAGATATATGTTTTTGAAGATATACTGTTCATTTCCTAAAGACACTAAAGAGCCTCTAAAGTTCATCTCCTAAAGAGACTAAAGAGTTTCATGGTACAGTGGTTAAACTGCTGTACTGCATCCAAAACTGTGCTCATAACCTGTGGTTCAATCCCAGGTAGCCTGCTCAAGGTTGACTCAGCCTTCTATCCTTCTGAGGTTAGTAAAATGAGCTAGTGCTGCTTCCAGGTTGAGAATTCACAGCAGAGGCCCAAGGCCTTAGTAAGAAACAAGTAATAAAGAAGTAAACAATGTTCATGCAATAGAACACATTAGCATTGGGAAATAATGAGAACATAGTTATATCCCATTGACAAATAACATAGTGAATAGTAGTGCTGTGGTTTCTTCTGTGTAACAAGTAATGTTTCTTCATATATCCTTTTACTTTTGTAGAGCTAATATTTTCTTGGGACATTTCAAAATAATTCGTTCTTCCCTCCCCCATTTTAAACTATTTTCTTATTGTTTTAGATACAGCTGGTGTCCAGCGGCAGGATTTGAAAAAAATCCAGTCAAGCCAGAGCTTGAAAGCAAATTATTTTTGAGTCGTGGGTGCCTTTTTAGTCAGATGTCTGTGGTGAAGATGTAGGTGACCTGCTAGAGCTTTTGTGGAAAAGCTTCGTGGTGGGGCTTCCGATCCCAGATCTGGGGGGACTAAAGATAGGGAACAACTCTAAAGGGAACATTCTTTTATATTTACCTCAGGATTTGAACAGGCCCAGTGGGCTAGCTTGAAATCCAAGGCTGTGAGAGAAGGGAGCGCTGGTGGATAAATGTGGAAGCCAGGGTCAGAGCAGATCTGAGGTGATAGGAAAATTAAAACCAGAGACTTGAAAATAGAATTTGTTTTGTGTCTGGAGGCAAGAAGGTTGTCTCAGACCAAGAAACATTGTGGCTGGTGTGGTGCCAGAAAAAATGTAGCCATCTTTAGCTGCTGATTGAGAGCTACATAGTACCCCAGAAAAATACTGGGAAAAGAAACAGCAGTAAAAAAGTGTTTTCAAAAGA